CAAGAAACCCAAAATCACTAAGTTAGCACCTAAAGTTGATGAAGGTTTTCTTCTTGGTTATGGATCAAATGAGCATGACTACCATATCTTCAATAAAACCTCTGGGAGAGTTGAGATTGCGGTAGACGTGACATTTGATGAATCTAATGGCTCTCAAGTGGAGCAAGTTGATTCAAGTGTTGTAGGAAAGGAGGATCCACCATGTGAAGCAATCAAGAAATTGGCTATTGATGATATTAGACCACAAGAAGATGAAATCACAAAAGTGGAGGTTCCTTAAGTTGCTGTTGCACCCATTTCCACTGACATACCTGTGCTGAACAGCAGCAGACCCCTACTACAACACCTACACGCGGCAGTGCCACATTAGAGAGCCTTAGTGCCGCGCCTACACAGTCATCAACAGTTGATTCTACTCCAGCTTGTGGACAAGACCTACAACCCATATTTGAGCAAGAAGATGATGAAGGTCCAGAAGATGAACAAGAGGGCATTCAACATACAAGGCTAAGGTAAACAATACAACGAGATCATCCCGTTGACAATATCCTTGGAAGTCTTCGAAAGGGGGTAACAACTTGTTCACATTTAGCAAACTTTTGTCAATATTACTTGTTTGTTTCCTCTTTGGATGATGGCCATGCAAGAAGAGCTCAACAACCTCGAAAGAAACTAAATGTGGACCTTGGTGGAATGACCCAATACCAATGTCATTGGCACCAAGTGGGTCTTCCGCAACAAGCAAGATGAGAATGGCGTGGTGACAAGGAACAAGGCAAGATTGATTGCTCAAGGTTTCACTCAAGTAGAGGGCTTGGACTTTAAAGAAACATATGCACCGGTGTCAAGGCTTGAAGGAATCCAAATGCTTCTAACCTATGCCGCTCATCACAACTTCAAGCTATACCAAATGGATGTGAAAAGTGCATTTCTCAACGGCCATATTCAAGAACTTGTCTATGTTGAGCAACCACCGAGCTTTGAAGATCATAAGTTTCCCAACCATGTCTACAAACTCCAAAAGGCGCTCTATGGACTTAAGCAAGCACCTAGAGTATGGTATGAATGCCTTAAGGAATTCTTGCTTAAACAAGGCTTTGAAATAGGTAAAGCCGATCCTACCCTTTTCACTCGCTAAGTTGGCAAAGATATATTTGTGTGCCAAATATATGTCGATGACATAATATTTGGTAGCACTAATCATTCTTTTTGTGAGAAATTTAGTAGGATCAAGACCAAGAGATTTGAGATGTCCATGATGGATGAATTAAAGTTCTTCCTTGGATTTCAAATCAAGCAAATGAAGGATGGAACTTTTATTAGCCAAACGAAGTACACCCATGATATGCTCAAGAAGTTTGACATGGTGAATGCCAAGCCTATCAAAACTCCTATACCAACCAATGGACATCTAGATCTCAATGATGAAGGGAAAGCTATGGATACTAAGGTATATCGCTCCATGATCGGCTCTCTACTTTATATGTGCGCAACTAGGCATGATATTATGCTTAGTGTGTGCATGTGTGCTAGATTTCAAGCTAACCCAAAAGAGTGCCACTTAGTTTCTATTAAGTGAATCTTGAGTATTTAGTATGCACTCCTAACCTTGGCTTGTGGCATCCTAAGGGCTCTAAGTTTGATCTATTTGGGTATTCGGATTCTGATTACGCCGGTTGCAAAGTAGATAAAAAAAGCACCTCGGGGACATATCAATTCCTTGAACGGTTCCCTAGTGTCTTGGAGTTCTAAGAAGAAAAATTGTGTAGCCCTTTCTACCGCCGAGGCCGAGTATGTTGCAGCCGGTGCATGTTGTGCTCAACTATTTGGATGAGGCAAACCCTTCAAGATTTCGGATGTTGCTTCACCAAAATCCCACTCTTGTGTGACAATGAAAGTGGGATAAAGCTCGCAAACAATCCTGTAAGCAACTCAAGAACTAAGCACATAGACATTTAACATCATTTCCTAAGAGACCACAAAACAAAAGGAGATATCGAAATTCATCATGTGAGCACCGAAAAACAACTAGCCGATATCTTCACTAAGCCTCTCGACGAGTCAAGGTTTTGTGCTTTGCATAGTGAGCTAAATATACTTGATTCTCATAATGTGGTTTGAACTATAGCACACCTTGATTGATGAACTATTAGGTTACTTGAATTATTAGGTTCCTCCAAATTTTTGTATACCTTTAGCTTGGCCACTCTCTCAGTAGAGTCTTGATCGCCTATCGCCACATTGTGCTTGCTTCTATGGGTAGGCGTGGTATTCTCAGTAGGGGGTTGTGCAGGGGGTTTTGAATTCAAAGGCGCATGTAAGCATTTAACTACCCAAGTCTTGGCTGAGTCAGATAACCCGGTCGACTTTAGCTCCAAAATGGATCGTGACATAACAGCAGCCTGTGTCCCTTTGTTTGAAGTTTTTGTTGATGGTGGAGCAGAGGAACTCCCATCTTTCTTATCTTTCTTCGTGCTGGCCTTGTTCGAGTCCGATTCCTTAGCATTAGGTGCTGAGTCTTTATTGAGTTTGTCCAAACCATCATCCTTACTACTGGATTCACCCAGCTGATTATCCATGTCAATTAGTTTTGGGCCATATTCCTCCTCTTTTGTTTCTACCCGGAATTGGAGTTCATACACAAAGGATCGGTCCGAACAGTTCGTGGCGCACAGGACAGACAGTTCAGAATAGCTGACAGACAGTTTGCTTGGAGGGCGAACATACCATGGTGCATGGCAGCGATAATTTGGCTAGTTCGTTTCGTTGCTGGTTCGTGAAGAAGTACTGCTGGCTGGTTTGTGTGAGAGAAAAATACTGTTCCGGCTAAAAATTTACGATCGTTTACAACAAGCCACAGCCAAACGAACAGGCTGAATAAGCGTGGACTGACACCTCTTCTTTAAAGAGGGCTGAAGCCGGAACTAATTCTATTATCTTAAAAAAACGGATATAAAAGACCAAACCCTAGGCTAGGCTGTTTAGAACCAAGGGCGGGCCCACCAGTATTCACGGGTATTTCAAAATTTTAGCAAAAAAATTCATATATATAGTGTATATACAAGTCTGTATATGAAAGAAAGAAATATACAGTGAACTGCGTGTACAGATAATTCAGCCCAATTTGGACTCGTTTTCACTTCCCATCCAAGGCCCAGTGCTGCCCCATGGCCCATTTTCTCTAGCTGAGGCCCAAAGACGTGTTCCGCTCCCGCACGCACGCGCATAGAGGAATTATATGTCATTTACATGCTGAATATTAGCCATTTGGTTGTCAAAAAAAAATTAATAGCCCTATATATTTTGAATACCCAGCCCTAAAAATTCTGGGCCCGCCACTGTTTAGAACTCACCTAAGCTGGAGCCAGAACGCGACCTATTGTGCTCAGGGGATCAGAGTAGAACAAGTCCCCGCTGCAAGAAGGCGGCTACAGGTTACCGTCCCTGTTGCTAGAAGGAGCAGGTCGAGGATTAGATTAGAGCGCAACACCAACACTCAAGACAGAAAATCCCTTTTTTCACAGCCATCGCCATCTCTCGAGATAGAGATTCCTTGCCTAGACGAGGCCGGAAAGCGACGCGACCCATCGTCGCTTCCTGAAACAAAAAAAAAATTCTTCGGAGCCATATAGTTGGACCTATCGCCGACGGCGCTAGTTTTCCGGTGATGATTCCGACAGGTACAGGCCGTCGGTGTCACTGATAAATAAGACAAGGATTAGATGACTCGTTCAACTACTTGATTATGTTTATCCGTAAACCACCTGTAAATAAATGGCTGATAAGTCATAACTAAAAATACGATTAACTGATTTATTATAAGAGAAAAATATTATAAACCAAACGACCATAGTATCTACCGGAGTACTTTTAAAAGTCAAGCACGGCGGTCAACGCCGCCCCGACGCCAGCTGGCTTGTCTGGGGAGGAGCTTTATTGTTTCCGAGTCTCGTGCAGAGCTACTGCGGAGGAGTCCTCAGACAGAGCAGCAAGGTTTGCTGGTCAAAGGCTGAGGAAGGGAGGAGGGGGAAAAGCTGCTCTGCTTGTCGTCGGCGCGAAGACCCGGGCGGCGGCGAGTTTCGTCGTGAAATCAGCGGGGCGCCTATCGGCCGGCGGTGAGGTGCGCGGCCGGCCAGTCGGAGTCGGGTGCTTTCCATCGCACGTACGTTTCCTTCTCTCTCTTTCTGTCTTTTTCCTCTGAAATGCAGAGAACCATTTCGCGTCAGATGTTTTAGAGCTTATTTTCTCCTCAACCGTCAATCTTGTGCAGATTGGTGAAATACATATGCATAAGCATTTGGGATTTTGGGCTACTAGGGGAGGGTTGTTGCGACGTAGGGATGTTGGGGGTAATTTCTTGGAAATCACAATCTTGGAGGGAACTAGTTCCCCGGTTGCCTATAAAATTCATCCATTAGGTCGCTCCATTTTTTGGAATCACAGAGATTTTCCTGTGGAGCATCCAATTGGCTCCGCTGAAGAAAACTTGCGATTCAAGGTCCCTCCTGAATTAAACTAGATAACCCTTTTGGACTGTGGGAATTGGGAAAAAAAAAAAAGATAGGAGTACATTGCATTGCAATTGGGATGACAAATGCTAGATAAACCCATGAGGCCATGAGTTGCCTTAGTCGAGTTACTTAAATTCACACCAAAAGGGTATAGGATTTTAGAGAGACAGGTACTCTAGCTCAAATTTCATTCATGTATCCTTAAAAAGGGGTGAAATTTCATTAGGTTGTACTATGCTGAGTGTCCTTAGAATTCTTATTCATGCTGACTGAACTGTTCAAGGCTCAGAAACTAAAACCAAATAAAGTAACCTCTGCACATTGACAGATGAAGTTAGATAAATCAACATTTGCCATGTCTTGCAAATAATGACATTTAAAAATTATTTTCTATCAGGTTATCAACTTTAGATCTTGATCGCGGGACCCGAATCATTGGCCAACTGGAGCAGAGTATCCAGAAAATAAGCTTGAGTACAGATCTCATCTATGGGTTCAATGAGTCAAAAAATTAAAATTTTCACAGAAGATGAGATTACAAGCATTACTAGCAATTATAGCACTCTTATTGGAAAAGGTGGTTTTGGAGAAGTCTATAGAGGGGTCCTTGATGCTGACAATGATCTAGTCGCGGTGAAAAGGTATATCCGACAAGACTTGCGTGATGAGTTTATGGAAGAAGTAAACATCCACAGCATTATGAACCACAATAACGTGGTGAAGCTCATAGGGTACTGTGTTGGTGAAAGTACTCTGATGTTGGTAACAGAGTATATCTCCAACGGAAACCTTGATGACATACTCTATAGAAGTGATGCTCCTATCCCTTTGGATGTAAGATTGGGCATTGCAATAGGGTGTGCAGAGGCACTGAGCTACATGCATTCGATGGATTCACCAAGTGACAACCATATTTATCATGGTGATATTAAACCAGCCAACATACTTTTAGATGACAATCTTACAACAAAAGTATCAGATTTTGGACTGTCAAGGTTTCTTTTCAGTGGTACTACTCAGTTCACTACAACCTTAAAAGGAAGTATGGGTTACATGGATCCTGTATATTTTCATGAGGGGTGTCTGACCCCGAGAAGTGATGTATATAGCTTTGGTATAGTCCTCTTGGAACTGATAACTCGAAAAAGGGCAAAATATGGGGACGTTAACCTAATTCCTACATTCAATAAAGCCTGTGCCAAGGGGAAAGGATTGAAGGAACTATTTGATGCAGCAATAGCTGAGAAGGATAATATGAAGGTTCTTAAAGAACTGTGGAAATTAGCAGCTCAATGCTTGTCACTGAACATCCATACACGTCCTCAAATGAATGAAGTGGCAAAATGCCTTCGGCTGCTCAAGAAAGATCTAAAGACTAGTCCACAATCCATATTGGCAACACACTCCATATGGGCCAAACCGTACACACAGAGCTCAAGGCCTCCTAGTTTTAAGAAGAAATTGAGCTTTTTCAAGGGAAGTACTAGCTATTCTAAGATTCTATCTGAACTCTACAATGTAAGAACATTTACAAAGGAGGAGATAAATGAAGTCACACATAATTACTCCTATCTACTCAGTGGAGGGACATCATCAGCAACTGAGGTTTATAAAGGAACACTTGAGGACAATACAATGGTGGCGGTGCATAAATTGATTTATGAGGACTCTGAAGAGGCATTCATCAACGGAGGGATGGTCGTATCAAAAATTGCCCATAAGAATATTGTCAAAATTTTGGGTTGTTGTTTGGAATCCCAAACTATTGCTTTTCTGTACGAGTATGTTGCTAAAGGCAGTATCTCTGACATTTTGGGTAGCCAGGAAGATTTTCCACTAGATTTGCGTATGAGGATCGCAATTAAGACTGCAGAAGCATTACAATACCTGCATTCATCAGAGACTGGTATCATCGGACATGGTAGTGTTTCAGCATCCACTATACTTCTTGATAATAACTTTGTACCGAAGCTCACAGAGTTTTCAAGGGCATGCATGCTTTTCAAGAAGAGTGAAAGTACTACTGGTGTAATTAGTAGCAGCCTTCTAGAAAAAGCTGTCAACAACGACCCGTCTCGCTATGGTTCTGTGTTGATGAACCTGGAAAGTGACGTGTACAGGTTTGGTGGTGTTCTCATGGCACTGATTAGTAGGGATAAGGATACTGATCATGATGACCTCCTCGCCAAATTCACAAGAGCATATGAGACGGAAAAAACCGGGAAGGCATTGTTCGATAAGGATATAACAGCTGAAGAAGATATCATTCTGCTTGAAGAGTTAGGGAGATTGGCACTGAAGTGTACCATTTTGAATGCAGACAAGATTTTTATGAGACCAACAATGAAGGAAGTGGCAGATGAACTTCAAACAATTAGGAGATCTTGGAAGGAACGCAGGACCGAGGCAGCTGCACAAGTATCTGAAGCTACTACAGATGTGGTGGCAGCAGAACCAAGATTGCCAAACCTGATGCGCCACATGTTCGGGTACCGTCGAATCTCCACCAGTGATCCCATACGTGTAGGCTAAGTATCATCTATGGGAAGATCACCTAAGTATTTGATACTGATGTGTACTGCAAGCAGGCGTAGAATTGTAGTGATATTTGTCTTCCTCTTGTTCTTTTTTTTTAAATAATGTACCTGTTTCTAGAATTCCTAGCTTGTATATATGTTTGTTTCCCTTTTACTTTAACATGTATTTTTTCCAGAAATATGATGTGATAAGTCAGCTAGGTGATGATCTTCATGTAGATCTGAAGTCATCTACTCCACTATTATGTTGTTGGTCAGCTCGTGCTGTACACTGACAGAGCATGGAGTTTTAGTGTGTATATGGACAATCATGGATGTCTTTTATGCCGTGTCCACTTTATTTCCATTTCTTTTTCCGTCATCTTTGTGTTCTGAAGTACTACCTCTATTCTAAATTATAAGTCATTTCAATTTTCTTGGAGTCAATTTTTTTTATATGAGTCAAAAGCATCAAATAGGTATTACTATTTAATTAATGAAGAATCTAAATATTATGATATCATGTAGGTATTTTATAAAATATAATTAATGAAGAATCTAAATTTGGACTTATTTGATATCTTTAATGTTAAAAAGCCATATTTTTACCATCACTCTAAATCTAAAAAATGGTCAAACTTGAGATGCTTGACTTTAAAAAAGTTGGTATGACTTATAATTTTGTGCTACTCTTGTCTGTATTGCAAACAAATGTACTAGATATATTCATTCGTACAAATGATGAGGAGCAAACAAAGAAACAAGGCGAGTAGTTCATCTTAAAGTTGTAAAGCCAGTATAAGTTGGCAACTAGAGAATGGCTTCTGACTTGTGATTATGGGAGTAAACTTTTCATAAAACATCACTTATTTTGGGACTTGGAGGGAATATTTGTTGGACGCGGCCGCGAGAGAGTGGGTGGGTGGACAAATCAGTAGGCCCGTGGAGCTGGTGCTGCACGTGGACTGGATCCACCCAGCAGCCCGCATTGGCGTATCGACGTTTCAGCGTGGGCCGTGCGTCAGTGCGTGCTAGTCCACAGAGTATTGGGCCTCAGTCGTCCCCGCTAAGGCCTAAGGCTTCAAAAACTCGGGATGGTAAAATCTGATGCCATTTTTTTCTGCAAAAGAACCCATTAATTTGAGCCCGTTAGCTGCTTACTGAGATAATTTTCCAATTTTAGTTTATATACACACTTCAAGGGATCAAGACATAAACGCCAGTGCCGTACCTACAAATTGGAGGCGCATACGTGAAACATAAGATAGGGCCCTAAAATCTAAGAAGCCAGCCAAGCAGGCCGACGGGCATTGGCACCGGGCTTACATTCTTCTGGTCCAATTAGCTAATCAGCAATCTAAGGCCTATGTTGTAATGTTGCGTTTTATTTTCTTCTATCCAATAATTGATTAATCATTATTAATTAGTATACTTAGGGCCTGTTTGGTTTGGTTTAGTCTCTGGACAGACTAAATCTTAGTCCAGGGACTAAATATTAGTCCTAGACTGTTTGGTTTATAGGTGACTAAAGGGGACTAAAGCTGTTGAAAAAGACCAAAACGCCCCTACTAATTGCCTATGATCTTTTTTTTTGTGGGGGAGGGGCAGTAACGAGGGGGCAGGGGTGTCTTTTTTTTTTGGCCCTTTAGTCCCCTTTAGTCACCCCTTAGTGACTAGATGACTAAACCCATTTAGTCACTTTTAGTCACCTTGTTTAGTAAAAATGACTAAAAAGGACTAAAATGGGGTGACTAAACTTTAGTTATCCAAACCAAACAAACCCTTAGTGTAAATTTGGGGCCTTCAAACTTTGGAGGCCTTGAACAGTCGCACAGCTTGCTCCTGCATTTACGGGCCTGATAAACGCAGACGGCTACATGAAACGTGTTGTACATGCCCTAAAGCAATGGTTTGGTTTTCTTGCTTGATTTAGACTGGTCACCAAAAGAACAGAACACAAGGCAACAAATGCAGAGTCCACTTATCTGTGTGATTCAACCATTCACAGTAGGACTGCATTCACCAATCTCATGCAAAATAGAACTGTGTGAAATAGTAATACATAAACACACATTAATGAAAGGGCTTGTAATTCTAATTACATAAATGTTAAACAATAAGCAGAATCACTCTTTTTTTTTTTCTCTTGTAGCGGCAAGTAAGCCAATCATCAACCTAAGTCAATTGAACCGGTGGAAGCAGTGGCCCTTGGAGAGTTCCATGGTCCATCCCAATTCCTAATTCTCTTGTCACCATGTTGACTGAGTACAGAAGAAAAAAAAAGTTCAGATCAGGGACGGCCTAACCATTGCATGGCGTGCATGGACGACCCTCTTCTTGGAGCTGCGTCTGCTGTGGTTGTGGCTGCCTCGCGGTCGTAGGTTCAGTCTGCTCGGTACAGATACTCCACTGAGGCTTCAGGAACCTTCTGTTCGTTCCATGCGCGTGCTTTAGGCACATGCTTGCATCCCTATGTGCAAGGATCTTGCACCCCATTAATTCACACAAGCACCACGCCCTGTCTATTTGTTGATTCTTCAATTCTCCGCATCACACAACCATCTACACCTTCTTGGCCCTCTCACAAACTCCACCGAGAGCTCACCCAGAGCCATAACACCATGAAGTCGTCTAGGTCATGCCGATGAATTAGAGTGATAAGCACAAACTGTCACTTGACCCAACCAAGCCTAATGAGCAGAGTGGATGCACACTTGGTACTCTCTAAGCACTAACGGAGTCCTTAATATTCAATTAAGACTTCCTAATCACTCTAATAGGGCAAATTACTCTCTTGAACTCAAGTATGTGTAGCTATATATGCCCTGACATCCAAGTGAGATCCGAGTATATAGACCAAGCACCTAAAACTAGCCGTTGGAACTCCACTCAGCCGTAGGGATGGCAATGGGATGGATTCGGATCGGGTGGAGTCTCTGTGCACCTGAACCCGAAACCCGAAATCGAAACCCAAAACCGCACCGAACACCAATTCGGGTGATAATTCGTCCCCAAAACCGAACCCGCGCGGATACCCGAAACCCGAATGGATACTCGAAACCCGCTTTGTATGACAACATAGTAAGAGAAATAAGGACTTTCTATAAACATATGCATGATATATATACACATATTCACATGTATAAACAAGAGGCAACAAATAATAAATATTTTCATGAGTCAACTTAGAATAAATTTAATAATATAAGTAAACAAGTTATTATTAGCATATTATAAAACATGAGTTTTAATTCCAACTAATTTATTTCGGATATCCATTGGATATCCACGGGTGGAAAACCAAACCCGAAACCGAACCCGATTGGTTTCGGGGCCCCGAACCCGAAAACCGTGGGTGAGAAATCATCCCCGAACCCGAACCCGCAAGACCCGAAAGCCGCGGATATCCGACCCGAAACCGCCCCGTTGCCATCCTTGCTCAGCTGAAGAAATGCACGGGGTTTCTCGGGTGCAACACTGTAGAAGTTCAGCGGCCTTCTACCGACTCTCAGCCTGTTCGTTTCGGCTGAATTGGCTTATAAGCCATGGCTGAAAGTACTGCTGGTTGGTTTGGTATGAGAGAAAAATATTGTTCAAGCCGTGGATTATAAGCCAGATACGAGTAAATAAGCCGAAACGAACAGGCCATCTAAGTCCAAAGTAGACGTTATTACACAGACAAACTCTAGTGGTGCACCGGAGTTGCAGTGACACTATTTCTGCTTTGTCAAATTAAAACACCCTCTCTATGACCAACCTCCAATGCAATATTCGGTGCCACACGGGAGAACTCTGGTGCCTTCTACACTTCTCAGCAAACCACACACATATCTATTGCATCACTCCATGTAAACTCCAGTGCCCACATCGAAAAATATGCCTTGAGCAGCCAGAGCAAACGCTAGCCAATGCACTCTTCTAAAGCTCTGGTGCCACATGGGAGAGCTCCGGTGCCTACAAAAACTATGCAGACTCTTCCAATAAAACTCTTTTGAGTTTGACTTTAGGTTTCATCCATACTCTTCATCTGTTGTGCATCAGGTCCACTCACTGCTAGACTCACTTAGGTTACGGTACCAGTTCATACCCCTTTTTATAGTATAGCTAAAAGAGAAAGTAGAAACTAAACTACTCTAAGTCTCTCTGAACGCCAAACAACCTTGAGAACTACCTCGTTTATTGTAGCCTTCAGTCATATCCTTTGAAGACTATTCGAAGTCAATCATTTGGGGCATGAAAACCATAAAAGACCGATCAATATGCATCGTTATGATCTCACTGAGCAAGGCTACTTCGAAACACACGCTAGTCACAATGATTGTGTTGCATGGACGACCCTCTTCTTGGACCTGCGTCCGTTGTGGTTGCCTCGCTGTCGCCAGTTCTCAGTCTTCTCGTTACAGATACTCCACTGAGGGTTCAGGAACCTTCTGTTGGTTCCATGCGCGTGCTTCAGGCACATGATTGCATCCCTATGTGCAAAGATCTTGCACCCCATTAATCACACAAGGACCAAGTCCTCTCTATTGGCTGGTTCTTCTTTATTCCAACACGGTGGATCCCCCAATAGTCTACACCTTCTTGGGCCTCTCACAAACTCCACCGAGAGCTCACCGGGGAGCCATGGTACCATGGAGTCGTCTAGGTCACGCCGATGAACTAGAGTGATAAACATAAACTGTCACTTGACCCAACCAAATCTAATGAGCAGAGTGGATGCACACTTGGTACTCTCTAAGCACTAATGGAGTCTAGCTAGATTTTTCTAATTATAAATATAAATTTAAGTCCATCTAGATTTGTTCAATAACCAGCGCATCAACGTTAGAAATTTTTAACTTAAGACATACGTAGATGGACTTATATAATATAATATAGGTTTAACTAAAGACATACGTAGATGGACTTATATATAATATATGTTATCAGTTAACATATGTGCTAATAATTGTTAGTTTATTACCAGTTATTCTCTAGTTTTTTTCAACCATATGTGATCTCTTACTTCCCAGTTCA